GGAATCAGCTCAAACTTTCTACGCAACATAAGTACATGTATGCGTATCAGAAAAAATTGTAAAAATAGAAAATTCTCTTGTAAAAATTTTTGACGTATTTGGCTGAATCTTGGAGCATCTTGAAAATCCACTGACAAGATGCTACATTCATAAAGACAGTGATAGACATTATTGTTCTTTTATTTTAAAGGTATCTCCTAGTGCTGATGATCTAACTTCTGGTGGTGAGGATCGTAACTCTATTCATTCCTTTGGGTCTAATCACAGTGGGGGAGGAGGAGGGGGCGGGGCTAAGATTAACTTTGAATTATCAGCAGCTGCTAACACCCAAAGCACCGTTGTCTGATAATAAAGTACACAATAATACCCACTGATAATAATTAATAATAATAATTATGACTTGATATTGTGATTATAATATACTCTTTATCATTCTTCCTCTCTCTCTCTCTTTCTTGGAACTACTCGTGTTGTTTGCTTGTCTTATTGCTTTAATAACATTATTATTATTATTATTATTATTATTATTATTATTATTGTTGCATTTCTCAAGAGGTTAGATCCACTCATAGTGATATCCAGTGGAATGGAGGAGTAGAAATTACTAGTAGTAAATGACAATGATACACAACCAGGTCATTCTACAGCTGGAGAGTAATTTTTATAAGAGTGAGACTGAGAAATAGATAGGAAGAGACAAGCTTCATAGATACATGTACATGCAGTTATGTGTACAGTCAGTTCCATTACCTGTACATGTACATGTACTTCATTCTGTTGATATTCTATTATTGGAATACTTTAATGCTGTAGCTACCATAACTAATTAATGACATCATCATAAAATCATATAGTGACTGTGATATCATAATAGTATCTACCATTGGGTGGAACTAATCTTAGCTCTAGATATGAATATTGTGAACACATACATGTAAATGTAATGTACATATTTTTAAATGGAACTTCCACCCACTACTGCAGTGAATCATTATATGTGCTTTGTTAAAGGTTAGTTAGTGTAGTGTTTGTACTGTAGACAAGATTCTGTCAACATTTCCAAGATGTCTTTCCTTTTATGGAAGTATATTTGGACTCTATTCAGGAAATATCAATATACACTGACTACTTGTGACAGGAACTGCTTCCTTATTCACCAGCATTGTCTTAAATAGCATCCATTAGTATAAAGCAGGAATTAACATGAAACAATGAAACAAATGCCTAGCTGTAGAATTGACTTACAAAATGTTGACTGACTTGACTTCATCATGGTAGAATGAAATAGCATTTTACTATAAATGCTTATTACAGTAAATGTTAAAATAATATAATTCAACTATAATGAAGTAGCTAATTATAAAGAATGGTATAATAACTACAATGTACTTAAGAACTATCTTGTTATATACGTTTTAGCAGCATTGCACACTAAAAATAGCAACTACTAATAATTATAAGTTTATTCTACTGTAACAATGTAACTATAGTTTTAATTAATTTCAAATCCTGGCATACCATTAAAGCTCTTTTGTTGATCCTATATTAATTATCAGTTTATTATTATTAGTAATTAATTTATAATCTCACTTACATATTCAGCAACTGATGTCGTTTTTACTTTACCAGCAGCTATAGCTAGTTTGTCCCATGTTGCTTCAGTATCATCATTAAGCCATTTTGCTAAACATTCACTAAGACATCGCTCAGCATCTCGTGGATAGTCAGTCTCAATAACCTTCAGATCGTTATGAATCAGACCCAAGTAGAGACC